TTATAAGTATATAAAAATATGCATAATTACCATCACCATGAAATTCAACAATATGTGCAGTTCAAATACACGTGTTCAGTTACCACCACCATGCTTATGTAATACAGCCCTAAATACGAGCAAATCAACGCAACATTATACATACACGTCTAGAAGAAAATTTGCTCTTATTAAATAGGTAAAAATTAATACACCTGTAATCAAGTTATTTGCCCCTAGAACTAGTCTAAACGAGCAATGTATAAATATATATAACTACAAATCATACAATCGAGTTATATGTCCCTAACACCGATCCAAACGTGCAATGTATAAATATATATAACTACAAATCATACAATCGAGTTATATCTCCCTAACACCGATCCAAACGTGCAATGTATAAATATATATAACTCCTAACCATGCACTCGAGTTATATGTCCCTAACAACAATCCAATCGTGCAATGTATAAATATATTTAACTCCTAACCACGCATTCGAGTTATATGTCCCTAACAACAATCCAAACGTGCAATGTATAAATATATATAACTCCTAACCATGCATTCGAGTTATATGTCCCTAACACTGATCCAAACGTGCAATGTATAAATATATATATAACTCCTAGCCATGCATTCGAGTTATATGTCCCTAACAACAATCCAAACGTGCAATGTATAAATCTATATAACTCCTAACCATGCATTCGAGTTATATGTCCCTAACACAAACCCAATCGTGCAATGTATAAATATATACAACTCCTAACCATGCATTCGAGTTATATGTCCCTAACACCGATCCGAACGTGCAATGTATAAATATATATAACTCCTAACCATGCATTTGAGTTATATGTCCCTAACACAAACCCAATCGTGCAATGTATAAATATATACAACTCCTGACCATGCATTCGAGTTATATGTCCCTAACACCGATCCAAACGTGCAATGAATAAATATATATAACTCCTAACCATGCATTCGAGTTATATGTCCCTAACACAAACCAAATCGTGCAATATATAAATATATATAACTCCTAACCATGCATTCGAGTTATATGTCCCTAACACCAATCCAATCGTGCAATGTATAAATATATATATAACTCCTAGCCATGCATTCGAGTTATATGTCCCTAACAACAATCCAAACGTGCTATGAATAAATATATATAACTCCTAACCATGCATTCGAGTTATATGTTCCTAGCACCGATCCAAACGTGCAATGTATAAATATATATAACTCCTAACCATGCATTCGAGTTAAATGTCTCTAACACCGATCCAAACGTGCAATGTATAAATATATATAACTCCTAACCATGCATTCGAGTTATGTGTCCCTAACAACAATCCAAACGTACAATGTATAAATATATATAACTCCTAACCATGCATTCGAGTTATATGTCTCTAACACCGATCCAAACGTGCAATATATAATTTAAAGAACTTCTTACCATGCAAATGAGTTGTATGTTATAACACTTGGCAAACCATACACTGAATACGTACATTTAACTTCAACACATCGGTTGATTTACGCGTCCGTGTCGACGCAACCAACTTGGCATGCATCATTCAGTATGGTGCCAGAATTTGACAAACTTTGTGGAATACAGAACTGCCAAGAAAACACTATATAGGATCACTAGAGTTTCACTCATGCAAAATATAGCCATATCACGTGACAATAGAGACAACCAATCAACACGGGACATACAAAGGTCAATACTCCAATGTACCAACACATCCAGTTCTAGTAACAGTAGTGACATCAGTTGTCCGAGTGGTACTGCTTGCTTCATCTCCTACATCAACAACTTTCACCGATCTGGACACACAAAGGATGTAATTGGTTGCGTTTTAACGTAAATAATAAGTCCGCGACTTATAATATAGCAAAATATAGCACTCACCGCCACCAAGAATATAATAACATGCACCACCACCCAAAATATAATATTAACATTCACCGCTAACAAAAAAATAATAACATGCACCACCACCCAATATATAGCATGCACCGCCACCAAAAAATAATAGCATGCACCACCACCCAAAATATAGCATGCACCGCCACCAAAAATATAATAACATGCACCACCACCCAAAATATATAGCATGCACCGCCACCAAACATATAATAACATGCACCACCACCCAATATATAGCATGCACCGCCACCTAAAAAAAACCCAAAAAACATGCACCACCACCCAAAATATAACCATGCACCGCCACCTAAAAAGAAAACGAAGTCCGTCACTTAAAATAAAATATTTGTCGTCATTTAAATAAATACATGCACTACCACCTATATCATAAAATGCGCACTAATCGGTTAAAAGGCCGTCTATTGGGTGCAATTATTGTCATTTCTAAACAAGCATATTAAATAAACAATGACGCGTAAGTGCAGATTTTGATGTATTTCTCTTTCGTTAATAATTTTGCTTTAATTCCTATCTAATAACAGATCTTACAGGTAAGGTTATAGAACGATCTAGCAAGTGTGACTTCAGATTCCCCATACACGAAATTTCAGTAAAAGTCTAGCATTAAACAGTAAGGTTATCATTACTTCGTCACATATATTTACAATCGATTTGAAGACGAATCTCTCTCATCTTTTAATATTATTAATACGACTCCAACAAGTAACATCATTTCGGCAACTGACTCGCAAGTAAGATTATCTTTCAGAAGACGTTATCACCAATCAATAAACGTCCACTTTACATGCATAGAACTACACATTCCCAGTACACCCACAACATTCGTTTCTACCATGTACTCTAATAAAATTGTTTATAAGTTATAACACAATAATGTTTTCGTATGTGTAACCAAATATTCACGAGTTGTCGCATCCATGGCGGGTGTATGCATTGTTTAGTAGAATATCCTAGTGTATAATCGTTATAGTGTAAATTCGACTTTCATCATAAACATTCGTGAAAAAACTAACGATTTTAAACAATTGTTGTTTTTTGCCCATGTGCTATCGTCGGAACAAATTTTCTTATTAGATTTCCGTTTAATACTTTATTAAAACAAACCATGATGTGAAACATCACTCTGGTTAAAATACAGCTAATCATTATACTCTTGCACGAACTCGCATTAAAATAATGTAACGATATATAACACCAGCGCGTAAACAGATTTGAGAGGTACTTATACTTGCATACCGACGATAGAACAGTGCAGTGACCTTTTTACATAAGTTTTACGTTCACGTCCAGGGAATACGTTACAGATAGACTGTGTAAAATGGAAAACATTTCAACATAACAATGACATGTTTTAATTGATCACCGCTTAAAAATTGATTCGATTTAGTTCCTAAACCATACAAAAACATTTGAGTCTTTTGCTAGTATCGTGTGTTCAATACCAGTGGATTAGTAGCAATCTACACAATAAGTGCTGTAGTAGAAGGTATAGGGTTGACCAACAACCTTTGCCATGCACAATCACCAAAGCCGTTACACAGAAGTTAGACCATCCTAACAGTGCCTGCATTCACAACATTAAGCATTCTACAAAATTTCGGCCATGCACCATCACCAAAGCTAGTTTGTATGCATTCACGCCATTTCTACTTGCATCATATTTCATAAAAATAAGCATACAATATCACTAATGCCATGCGCCATCACCAAAGCTAGTTCTTATTCATTCATCCCTTCTATACATACAACATCACTAATGCCACGCGCAATCACCAAAGCTAGTTCTTATTCATTCATCCCTTCTATACATACAACATCACTAATGCCATGCGCCATCACCAAAGCTATTTTCATGCATTAACGCCATTATACATCCATCAGATTTCATTAAGTCAAGCATACAAAATCACGTCTGCCATGCGCCATCACCAAAGCCATTTTCGTGCATTAACGCCATTTATACATAAATCAGATTTCATTCAGTTAAGCGTACAAAATCACGTCTGCCATGTGCCATCACCAAAGCAATTTTTCATGCATTAACGCCATTTATACATAAATCAGATTTCATTCAGTTAAGCGTACAAAATCACGTCTGCCATGAGCCATAACCAAAGCTATTTTCCTGCATTAACGCCATTTATACAGCCATCAGATTTCATTCAGTAAAGCACACAAAATCACGTCTGCCATGCCCCATCACCAAAGCTATTTTTCATGCATTCACGCCATTTATACATCCATCAGACTTCATTCAGTTAAGCATACAATATCACGTCTGCCATGCGCCATAACCAAAGCTATTTTTCATGCATTCACGCCATTTATACATGCATCAGATTTCATTCAGTTAAGCGTACAAAATCACGTCTGCCATGCACCATCACCAAAGCTAGTTTGTATGCATTCACGCCATTTCTACTTGCATCATATTTCATAAAAATAAGCATACAATATCACTAATGCCACGCGCGATCACCAAAGCTAGTTCTTATTCATTCATCCCTTCTATACATACAACATCACTAATGCCGCGCGCAATCACCAAAGCTAGTTCTTATTCATTCATCCCTTCTATACATACAACATCACTAATGCCATGCGCATCACCAAAGCTATTTTCATGCATTAACACCATGTATACATCCATCAGATTTCATTTAGTTAAGCATACAAAATCACGTCCGCCATGCGCCATCACCAAAGCCATTTTTCATGCATTAACGCCATTTATACATAAATCAGATTTCATTCAGTTAAGCGTACAAAATCACGTCTGCCATGCACCATCACCAAAGCTAGTTTGTATGCATTCACGCCATTTCTACTTGCATCATATTTCATAAAAATAAGCATACAATATCACTAATGCCATGCGCCATCACCAAAGCCATTTTCGTGCACTAACGCCATTTATACATCCATCAGACTTCATTCAGTTAAGCATACAATATCACGTCTGCCATGCGCCATCCCCAAAGCCATTTTCATGCATTAACGCCATTATAAATCCATCAGATTTCATTAAGTAAATCATAAAAAATCACGTCTGCCATGCGCCATAACCAAAGCTATTTTTCATGCATTCACGCCATTTATACATCCATCACATTTCATTCAGTTAAGCATACAGAATCACGTCTGCCATGCGCCAGCACCAAAGCTATTTTTCATGCATTAACGCCATTATAAATCCATCAGATTTCATTAAGTCAAGCATACAAAATCACGTCTGCCATGCGCCATAACCAAAGCTATTTTTCATGCATTCACGCCATTTATATTCTTATGCATTCAGGCCTTTTTCTGTCTGCACAATATTTCACATGTGACCCATCATTTCTACCATGAGCAATCACCATAGCTGTAGTAACTATGTTGGTATATTTCATGTTTCCTATGACATGTTAAAGATAATCTGCTCAATCAACTTTTTTAAAAGAGAGTCTGTTATTTTGGTCTAATTGAACACCATATCATGCGCCCGTCACCAAAGCAGTGGCTACAACCATTAATGTTCTGACTGGCATTCATGACACTTCCATCATATTCGTCTGCTCTCATTTTCATGGCGAATGAATGTTCATTTAATATATATATGATTTTTAAAAAAATATCCTGAAATAAAGTTTTGACAAAATACATGTGATATACCATTTTAGGACTAAACGAATCATTTAAACTACAGTTAAACCTCGATATAATGCCCAACTTCGTTTCAGTTGCACTCTCGAATACTGAAAACATAAAAATGTCTTCTATTTCTTTCCTTTTTCACGCAATTATTGTTTATATGTCTTCCCGGATGTATCGCCAAACTCCTTGTAACGCCAAGCATTCACGGAGCAAATGGCGGCAGTATAACGAGGTTTTACTGTACTCATATCACATCTATCTAAGTATCATAAATTGACATAATGTGTGCGTGAACTCATGCAATAAATAATGTGTGCATATAACAGAAAGACACCACCACCATTGCCATGCGCCTCCACCAAAGCCCGGACACACTACGGTTAAACTTACCACACAGTATTAGTATATACAATTATACTAATTATACCTATATAGTCAACAACACAAGATCGCCTATGGATAAGAAATGTAATCGTCTGTAGCAGGTAAATGCCGCAAATGGTATAGAACTGGTTTTGGTATTAATATAAAAAGACCGAATAGTCGACATATCGCACACTAATGCTCATTGATTATATACATCATAAAAAGGTAATCTTAAAGCAATTTCGTGATCCAGATCTCAACACTAGGCAACATATTGATTATCCTATAATAATTGTGTACACATTTCATGGTAATTATCGACCTGTAGCCATGAGAGCGCGTGTGGGTCCTATCGCAGATAAGTTGTACGGTAGAGGAGTTGTACGTTAGAAAGGCAGGTCTGGGCTTTAGATCCACCATAGCGTGCGTCAGTCAGGGTCCCATCCCGTCAGCCCTCTCTAACAAAAAATGTGCCAATATAGCACAAATATATAATACATACAGCTCACATCTGTATATTTAGGTGGAGTCATTCAATGGAAACATGGAATCGAAACTATGAGAAGGTTCAAATAGGATACTTTGTTTCTAAGTTTACAAAGCTTCGTAATAAGCTCAGCTATTTCAACACTTTCAATGTGATTTATTGGCACTTTAAACAAGATTTAAATATATGCATATGAAAGAGATCAATATATTGTGCTTACCTGGATGAACCCGAATACATTGATGACACAGGAAGTAGATGAACATTGCCTTTCCAGAATTCGTGATGCTGACTCAATTTTCCCGCGTCAATCAACCTATCCACGTCTGCTTCCCGAATGGCCTGTTCCATTTCGTCTGTTGGGGTATATTCCCAGAATCGTAGAATCGGTTTCTCTTCCGTGAGATGCAGAGTAAGTAAGCAGAGTTTCAGTAGATCAGGGTCACATAGTCCGTTTTGGATTACCAAAGCTTTATACAAACACATTTCGGCCAGGTCAAGCGGTCTTGGTGTGTTCATACCCGTGACCTTGATGTTTATTGCAAACATGTACTCGTCTCTGTGACATAGAGCGTCTATTTGTCCTGTCATCACGCGCACAAAGTTAGACACTTTCACGTGGCCTGTCAATTTCACAGCAACCGCCTCACAAGATTGAAACCACGTGTCCAGTTTTCGTTCGAACAGCTGACAGATGTGGTTACAAAAACTGAACGTACTGTTTATCTGAGTCACCTGACCGAATGCGTCCGTGGCACCTTTCCCGTGGAAATACCTTATGACAGCTGAGTGAAAATCCTTTCCTTGCTCCTCTCTGGAAACGTTTTGGAGAAAGTCCTGGTACCTCGAGCGGTTCTTCACGTGTTTGCTGAGATCCAGACGACAGGCCTCTCTCCTGGCTAGGAAAGAACCCCATCGGTCTCTCTGATCCGGGCTGTACGTACTACAGACCAGTTCCTCCCCGACACACTCTACCACTACGAATATTTTCATAGTGGTCAGGTCGTAAGTCCTGGACAACTTCTCCAGTCGGCGGCGAAGTTCGTCCTCATAACGAATCAGTGTGTTCGCCGAGGCGACAGACATCGTACGAACCCCAATACCTCCGCAAAAGTATGTGTCCCGTGCCTGAATACAGCCTAGTATTGGAAATCCTTTTTATTCCACTCCAAAGACCTCCGATTTCACAGTCCGCAAACAACGTGCCATTTTGCTACAAACAGAGAACACACGATTGATTTGTTAGTGTTATCTACCCTGATAAATAATCCTCCAAAGTCTGGCATGCTTTGAGTTTTATCGCCGTGTATATATCAGTCAGTGTTAATTATACATGTTCCCGGAGCAGTTAAGATTTTCGTCGATTTTAACGTTTCATCTTCCGTTATTTAACGCTGTGGTGTATTAAATTATGCATCAGGTATTTTGTGTGGACGGTCAATAAAATATCAATCGTGCGTCGTCTTTTGTAAGAATCTCGACAAGTAGACTTACCTGTGGAATACCTGTAGATATATATACGCCTATTAGGTCCCGTCTGAACACAGCGTTTCGTATCGGATATCGACATACTCGCCCAACTAATGTCTCTGCGGAGGACAACTCGGTCATCGAATATATATTGTACCGATTTGTCTTGAGTGGGTTATCTGTAGGCGAGTTGGCCGATACGACCGACTGAGTCTCTAACGGGAGTAATATGACAGGCAAGTCTGGACATCTCCATGAATGTTTTACCATGCTGTGTAATGACAGTGTGAAACAGATATGGAGAAACCAAAACTCGATATTCTGATTACACTGCACGGACGTTTGGTCTTTGTCTGACGCTCGGACAATGGGACATAATTTATCGCTGACTGAATGGCTATTGTTCGTATATAAATATGTACATAATATACTGTGTACCAACTACTATATATATATATACGTAAATCTTTAACTTAGTACCGGTTTACAATATATAAACACATCCGTATTGTATTTTACAGTATGTCGATGGGAAACGTTACACACACGAAATGTCGCCGTTCAAAATGAAGTCAGGTACAATATTTTCATAAAGTAATCCGATGACAATCAAGATTTCAAATTACCCCATATTGACCCTGGGGCTTTCTCTGTATGTATTCGATGGAATTTAATAGAATGGATTGCATATTTACTCTAAATCCTACGGTAAATTACACCCCTACTTTTCGTTTCAAGTTACACGAATATATATTTCTAAAGAGGAATTAGAATTGCTAATAACTTTTAAATTATCTCGACCAGTTATAGACCTATCTAAGAACTTATCCCCACCGGTGGGGCTATCATCTCATTACGGTAGAATCCTATTGAGGGTATACAATGAAATAGAAATGATTTCTATATAGACAGATAATTACACGATAATTAACGAGTCCAATTCGGTGGTATGAAAGGCTTTATATCTAACTTCATATCAAATTAAACCTATGTACAATACTGTGCGCAATATATTTCATACATAACAGTACTTATACACATATTGATAAATTTAATGAAATTGAACTTTCAGAATTCATCTGCGAATGCTTAGGGACATCAAAAGCATAAATTACCGAGTAAATGTTTAGACCATTCCTGGTGTGTAGGGAATAATACAACCCACTGATGTTATATACTGAAGTGTTCTCGAAGTTCTAACCATAAGAAATATGATTTTTGCAACGAGAAGCTTAGATTGGGTCGACTTTTAAACTTTTAAGTACAGACATTCTCGTGCAATTTATGTGTTATGTAGAAGTGCTGACTTTAGGAGTAAACTTTCTCCTCCTCCTCCTCCTCCTCCTCCTCCTCTCCTCCTCCTCCTCCTCAACCTTTTTGTCTTCATCATATGCCCTTCTCCTATACTATTGTCCACGTCCTATGCCCTACTTTATTTTTGCCCTCGTTTTATCTCTTCCTCCTTTTCTATCGTCCTCGTCCTGTCTCCTCCTTCTTCACTATCGTCCGCCTCATCTTAAGTCCTCCTCCTCCTCATTACAGTCGTCCTCGTCCTTTCCCTATACTATCGCCCACTTCCTGTCTCCTCCTTTACTCTTGCACTCGTCCTATCTCTTCCTCCTCTCCCATCATCCTCATCCTACCTCTTTCTTCTCCTCTTCTATGGTCCTCTTTCTATCTCATTCTCCTTTGCTATCGTCCTAATTATCTCTCCTCCTCTTATGCTATTGTCTTTATCCTATCTCCTCCTCCTCCTCAACTTAACTCCTTCTCTTAACTAGCGTCCTCGTCCTAGCTCCTACCTTACCCTTGTCTTTATCCTATCTCCTCCTCCTCCTCTTCTATCGATCTCATCATATCTCCCCCTTCTCTATTACATTATAACTCTTCTCCTCTGTTATATCGTCCTCCTTCTTCCACTCCTTCTCCTCTTCTATCGTCCTCAACCTATCTCCTCTTCCTCTACTACTGATGTCATCATATCTCTTTCTCCTCAACTATCGATCTCCTCCCTCCTTACTACATTATATTTCCCCCTCATCATCATCATCCGTACTAACGTCTTCATCCTATCTCATCCCTGCAGGTCGAGGATCGAGAAAAGAATATACCTGCTGTTACCCACTGCGTCTATCGTTAGACCCTTTTGCAGAATTGGGGATTTGCCTTTATGCCTTCTACTTGGGGACACAAAAGCGATCAAAATAAATCTGCTGCACCCATTGCAATATTGAGGATTTTATCTTTCTTTCTACTTCTATTTTCCTTTCATTTCCTTGCGCCTTGCATGGCAATACCTCATTTCTGGCTTTAATGTTGAGCGTTCGCACAGGTGAGGAAGGCAATGGGTTCTGCCCCCAGGCCGGGATATACCAAAGTCCTTCAAAATGGTAGTTGTTATTCTCTGCTTAACGTTCAGCATTTAGGGTAATGGCAACATGTGACCGGGCGGTATGCTGTGCTGGGTGCCTTCGGCATGGTATTTCAGTGAGATAGCACTATAAAGTCGGCATCAGTACACCAACATACCCTGTCTCCAGCTTACATACACACATGCACGTATACACAACACACATGGAAGCACGTCCTTAAATGACCTTAGCTGTTCATAGGACGTTAAACAAAATAAAACCAAACCAAGCATCCTATCTCCTCCTCCTCCTCTATAATCGTCCTCATCCTGTATCCTCCTCCTCTACCTTCGACCTCCTACTATACCATCGTCGTTATCCTCTCCTTTGATCTCCCCTTGTATCTTCTCTTGGTGTTCCTACTACCCTTGGTTGTAGGATAAGATTTTAATGTATTTGCTATGAGGAATTAGTCCAATATCAACATCGAAGATATAGTTTTAGTAGGATCATTTTATGGAATTCCCTTCTTGAAATGTATTTTTTTACACCAATATTAGGACAAAGCAGTGACCTTTCTCGACTGGCAAAACACATATTACAGGTACATAGGTATGAATAGATTTGAAACAATTCGTCACCTCTATAGTATAAAAACACGGTAACAACCAAGAAAGTATTGATTGCTATAGGAGAAAGGTCGAAATCGACACCTGTTTATATACACCGTAGATTTATACGTAGATAATATGGGATATCTGAGATAACGTTAGGATCGTTATGTATCTCAGTGCGTTTATACCGGTTCAGAGAACAGATCGCAAGTTTTTAAAGGAATAAAAATGTTTCCCCTAGGTCGATCCGTTTCCCTATGACTCTTTTATACGTCATCGTTCAATGTTCCTAGATATACGTATGATGTCATTATGGGGAAAAGGCCTTGATAAGTTTGTCCATCCCATTCTTATCTTTGACAATAAAATATTCTTAAACGAAATGATGCTGTGATGGGACTTTTTTTTATTTTGACATATATATACAGTTTAAATCATCAATGTAGAATTCTGCATGTAGAAAGGTATTGTATCGTGTTAGTTGTCCAATATGTACTGTCCTCTTGTAAGTTGCTCACCTCACATTGGCATTTTGTTTCTTGAAAAGAATACCTGTCACAATTGTTCTTGATACTTATTTCCCCCAGCCCCATTGTCTTTTTCTTTATACTTGAAATGGGTTAATTGAATGTGTACCGACCTCAAAAGAGTGTGTGATCTTAGACACTAGTTACTTGAAATATGGAACTCTGTTTACTGGAAAAGTGGGACACTAAACACGTGTTACTGGAAAGGTTAGTTAGAATGACTTCCTGTTACTGATAACTGTACTGGTTATATTGACCTCTTGTTACTGATAACTGTACTGGTTATGTTGACCTCTTTTTACTTGAAAATGTACTGATTATATTAACATCTTGTTACTAGAAAATTGTACTCGTTATATTAACCTCTAATTGTTACTAGAAAATGTACTGGTTATATTGACCTCTTGTTACTGATAAATGTACTGGTTATATTAACCTCTTGTTACTAGAAAATGTACTGGATTTATTAACATTTTGTTACTACAAAATGTACTGGTTATATTAACCTCTTGTTACTGATAAATGTACTGGTTATATTAACCTCTTGTTACTAGAAAATGTACTGGTTATATTAACCTCTTGTAAATAAAAAATGTAATGGTTATATTAACCTCTTGTTACTACAAAATGTACTGGTTATATTAACCTCTTGTTACTGATAAATGTACTGGTTACATTAACCTCTTGTTACTTGAAAACTGTGTTTATTATATTAAAATGTTAGTGTTTGAAAAAGTGCAAAATGACGGAAATGTTTACCTCATGTTAACGATTGAAGTGTCCTCTTGTTCAACAGAAACCCGAATGAGACATTGAGACTTCTTTTAATGGACTTGGTGATACCGATCGGTGTCTTTTTGATTTGTTAGATCTGCTTCCGTGTGCTTTATATTCCTTACAACTTACATTGAACATTTGGTAAACCCCACTCTCACGTAAATAGCCTGCTCTGGTACTAAGTATTGTGGAGTCCGTATGCTTATGAGCCGTAAGGCTTCAAGCTGAATAAACAATACAATACAATACGAGTTCCGTTTCTAGCCACCAAAAACTCCACTGTTATAGCTGTCCAATCAGGGTGACGATGATATGTTTTTTTCTATAAGGAAATATGTATATGTTTCACTTCCTGGTAAGCGAGGTATTCGTTCCTTCTTGCTTTTTAAAAAATATGATGTTATTTTTATAATTCCTTCTTCCTTTGTGATTTCTGTTTCTTTCATGGAGGCTTATCTCTTCATTTTTCTTCTTCTTTCTATTTCTTCTAAATACCGTGACATCATTTGTACTTATCTACCTTTCCCTCGATGTCTTATCATCATTGTTTATTATATCCGATAGAAGGTTGGGAGATGTTAAAGTTAGAGCCTCAGGATAATTTCTTTGAAACTATAGCACCCCTTCATAAATACAGACCAATCATAATTATGAATACAGTGGCAAATTTTACAAAACAATTTCCGGAAAATAAATCCGAGAGTTAATCTATAAATGTAACGACCTCATTTCCTTGTATACAATCAACTCATGTCAAATTTGTTTCTCTTGCAGAGACGCTAATATCATTATGTTAATGGATAAAGAAAAAAAACGGAAATCCCTCAGATCTCACGTATACTATAAACTCTTTGGAATTAACAATTTCTCTGTTGGTAGCTCGTTGTCACTGGAATAGCTCAACTCTTTAGCAACTTTCAAGAGAAAGTGTATCGGTATTTCCCCCCAGTACTGCACTAGAAGACAAAGATGAACGTGAATATGATTATATCACGTTAAGGATGCATACATGCAGTTTTTATATTGTGAATATTATATTATGACTGCCCCTTCAAAACAGTCTTTAAGAACTTGGTAAAGAGCAGTTTTTTTATTTTTATTTCTTGTGACGTAAAATATGTAAATATACAAGATAAAAAACATTTTCATTGAACAAATGAAAAACCTTTTTGATTTACATTTATATAGTTTTATGTAAAAATATAACAACAATGATAAAAAGAACATTTTCTAGAGTCCTATATGAATCAATAAAGTAATATCTGAATTGACTTCGAACATGTCAGAATTCGGAGACATTCTGGTTACATAGAGCTGCTGTGTATAGCCACCTTATCAATAAACATGAAATAATGGGATAAACTAATATTTAAACACGTTATTATAAACAAAATATTTTCTTTCTCAATTTCTTATTGCCGATTGGCTTTGAAAGCAAGAAATTCGGTCCAAGGGAAGTAACTCCTCTCACCTTACAGCGAGTCAAGCATCTATCTGTCAACTTATTTTCTTTACACGACCGTATTTTATTTTCGTTTACACAATTGCTAAAATTACAGTACTGAAATAATCGTTTTGTTCATTAGTATACTATAAGCTTTCAGTCAGAGTTACATACATCGGTCAGGTTCCTTTATTTGAACGACACACCTGTGTGGAATAGGTATTATACACGTACCTGTCCAAATAGACACCAAACAACATAAGTACGAGGTACTAATGACACACATAAAACGTGAACTATATTGTATGGAATTCCATTGATGACACACAGTCACATACTATATCATTCATGAAATCTCTAGACCGAAATGTTCCGTGATGCGAATCACATTTATAGTATACATATAATAGTATATACGATACAGACATTGATGGTGACCCCTGATAACAGAAGTTGGCTGGAGTATAATATTCATGTTTGACAGAAAAGAAATTTCGTCCGATTTCATGAATTAAATATGAAATCAAAGGTTTCACGCGTTTGTAAAATTTCAACAGTCTTAATTTCAGTTTCCGTCTTATGTTTTTTAATTCTCATGTTCAGTCAGCATCACAGATTAACCATATTTGATATCACAATCAAACAAGACTTCAATACGTGCACATTATTTTAAGAGTACATTTAGTTGGTCGGAAAATATGTTTCCGTATAAATAAATAAATATATAACTAGTATTTGAACAGATCATCTCTTCATGTGGTCACAGATAGGCAATTACTAAACATTTCCTATATTGCCTTCTACTTATTCAAAACACTATAGTTTGTTTCTAATAACCCACATTTGATATATATTTTGCTTAAACATTCATTCAATGTCCAGTGCACACAATTGAATTTATTTACATTTCTTTTTGTGATACTGTCCACCATGACCTGTCCATGTAGTTACGCTGATGTACGATTCTAAACATGTATTTAGTTCAGGTCAAATTCTTATGTAATTCAGAAAGTATGTTAATGAAAACTAATTCTGATTTTTTTCCATCAAGTGCTTGGCAAAATTTGATATGAACATTTTTAACTTTCACATTGTAAGTTAGGAGACCAATTATGTTAATGGTATAGAAAAGTTCAGCAAAGCTAAGAATGTCTGGTCACAAATTAGATATAGAGCAAGATTGATAGACAGGTACAGTACCACGGAGGAATCAAAGAACGTACACACTATGGAACATTGGTATTGAGGATGAACATCGCTTTATGTCCATCTTTTCATCTGCTTGATGTACTCACCTGAAAAATATTATTGGTAAAAATCTAGCAGTTTTACGTGCACAAGCTTCATGAACTCTAGCAATATATACCGGAAATATGTAAACATGAATTTTTATTTTGTAAAAGGTCGTTTCTGTGAAGGGATAGCCTGAAAACAAGAATGAGTGAACAAATTTAGTATTCTCTCCATATAAATGTTATTTTGTTGAGTTGAAGTTTTCTGTCTTGTTTATTATTATCATCAGTCCTTGCAATTGCATCTTGTATTTTTATATACATTTAAAAGACGTGACACTTGAAATTTCAAATGTATATGTATACTCTGTACCTGTAGGTTGTATGTAAAATAGACTGAACATATAACTACAAGTCCCCCCCATACTTTCGCGAAATTCAAATTTCAAAGTTTGAAAGTATAGCATTGAATTTTAACCTATAAATTCAGTTTAATGTGTTTTACCTGTTGTTTCTAACTGACATTTTTTGTGAAAGGGCAAAAAGGGAAACATATTTTCATGGAGAAGCATATCATATCAATGTTGAGTAGATAACAAAAAAATATAATATATATATATATATATATATATATATATATACATTATACTTATATATAATCGCCTACATTTACTCTAACAATTGACGACATCATTAATAACACAAACGTTGAAATCGATGAGTACACGGACATTTCGCTGTTACATACGATGATAAAACCTAACCTATTTATTTAATTTGTTACTAAAGATCGAACAATGTCCGAATTTAAAACATCATTTTTGATTATGGGGATTATTGTATCTCGAGTGTTATATTTGTTTTACGGTATCCACGAGTGACCAGGCGTCCGTTACAGATATCCATGATTTACAAGGATATTACCTGTCATTACACCTGAACGATCTAGCGCGACCGCCAACCTTTCATATTTACCTGTCCACGAGCATTCCGTCCTCTTCACTTACTCCCTGAACAGTTTTACGGGGCGGTTTTAGACTAATGATATCTGTATCGATTTTCCATATATTATGCAAAATACTTCTAAAATAATCTTAATATGCATATTTATAAGTTTTGCTTAATATAAAGCGTGAAATTCGTAAAACATTCCTACTTTCAAATTCGAAGTTATCGGTGGGAGGACAAACTAACAGCGCCTAACAGTACCCCGAAATACAATTGAATGGCGGTTGGAACGAGCAGGCGAGTTTCGTACAGTTAGTGTAACTCAGGTGTGTGGATACGTAAACATGTAGGATTTGTGATTTTTGGAATTTACACGACCATGCCACTTCCAGAGAGAATTATCCAGCCTGTGTGTTTAGGGGGACATCCTCTGGACATCTCGAAGGCGGAGGAGGGTACCGCTCACCTGACGGTAGCCTCTAATTCATTGATTGGAGCTTTACTACAGCTTGCCAGTTTGGTTAGGCATGCCGATGATCTGTTTTGTGATATTTCGGATGAGTGTCAGAAAATCTTCGATCGGTCAGAAAGGATCTCAAAGAAACTTTCAAATATTGAAGTGACTGTCTCGAAGCTAGATGCAAAGGATGTAGCTATACGTAAGTATCTTATCTTGACTGTATAACATGCTGTGTATTTCACCGGTGTGCGGAAATGTAAAACACGGTCATTACCTGTGGGCATTTCCCTTTCGTTATCAGCAGAGGAAACGAGCGCTTTCTATCAGGTGACCGCACGTAGGCTGTTTCGAATTTAAAAAATACAGCCATTTTAATTTTATTATTAGATACATTGTTTCACATTGTTGATTTTGTTGTATTTTTAGCTAAACGAAGTAGCAGTCTTATTGTAATAAATAATCGTGAAATAAGAAGGCAGCAATTAAATAAAATAAGAAAGCAGAAAACAAAACCATGAACTATAAGATAGATATTAAAGTCACTTCAGTGTTTTGACGTAGGAGAGTCAGGTTTGAAATTAATTTCATTGTATGAAAAATCCAAATATAGCTTAATTGGTAGTTTTTATTAGTCAGTCACGGCTAAAATTATTTAGAAAAATTGGTGAGATGTTTATATTGTCATTAGTGAGTTTTATTTCTGAAGCCTTGTGCAACCGTTCAAACCTTCCTTTATAATGTAAAGCAGTGACGTACAATATGCCTGTATAGGGAAGGTGTAACAAAACACCCACAGATTATTGATGACATATCGGTAGTGTCCGTTTAAAAATGCGTAGAAAATCTACACGTATATATCTTCAATCTTGTGATTATGTTAATACCTGTACAGGGAATCCCATGGCCATTGATCAAAAATGTGTCCACACCCACGTAAACAATTCTTAGATACGGACCTGTTTTAACGCCTTACCTATATTAAATTAACGCCTTACCTATATTAAAGACTTATTGGTGGTTTTTAACTCAGAAGATGGAGTATAACAAGTTCAGGTAATCATGAATCAAATAAGAGGTTCATACTTCATTTTTTGTGAATCAATAAACTAGGATGTGTTTCTGTAAGTAAGGGGCTATGGCATGTACAATCTGATAAAAACAGAAATACTAAAATGTGGTTAACCTATATAGGTAAATGTCATTTTCTTCGCCTATGATTGATATACCTCAAGTCAGAAACCTAATAGAATGCTTTTAAACTAGAATTACAATATTGTGAAAAAGGTGACATTTATAGAGGTAAATAGAAAATAGATATTATCCTTTACTTTTCGTTCTTAATCAGGTCAAAGTACAAATGAAAAATCAATTAATTAAGTGACCTGTTTCCTATTTAGTTAATGAGGGGTAGCCAAAGTGTACCTGATATATATATACATTTCAGTAAAGGCCACATCTTATCTTGAGTATTACCGAATAACTGTGAAAAGAATCACTATAACAAGATTATGTATCACAACGTGACATTTACAATGTCTCTTCAATATCATTCTATTGGCCAGATTGCAACTCAATCAGGACTTAGATATTCACAATTCCCGTCTGTCTGTACTAAGGTTTTAAAAGAAGAATGGTCAAGCTCCGTTTCCAAGTTATTAATTATCCCACATCAACTAAGTTTTCATGGCTTGCTTATCACATGCAATATATGCTTCGGATGCTGCTTCTGACCTACATTTTCCACTTCAGTGACCAGGTTATTAAGAAGTTTGGTTGAGGTCAGGCCCCATCTGCACTATGGTTAAGAAGATTGGTTTAGGTCACTTACCAAGTAACTTACTTGCCCTACAACAACTTAACTTGCATAGCTAATTATGTATCTAAGGATGCTTATCACATGTGATGCTTCAGATGCTGGTTTTGACCTACATTTCAGTTCAGTGACCAGGTTAAGAAGTTTGGTTAAGGTCAGTTACCAAGTCACTACTTGTTGTACAATTACTAAACTTGCATGGCTTATTGTAAGCCATGCAAGTTTAGTTGATGTTCAAGTAGTTGTGTAGTTGCATAAGTTAAGTATCTAAGGATGCTAATCCCATGCGATGCTTTATATGAAAATGTACTGTAGCAATCCGGCCATATCACCATTGGTGGTTTCTTATTTAAATCTTGTCTCATAAAAAAGTATTTTAATATTTGTTGAAAACACATAACCACTCCGAATATTATGGAAAGAGGAAGAATATAAGTGAATGTTTTCAAAAGGAAAAAATATTGATCAGGTCCTTCTGACATTCTTTGAGTTAAAATTTTGATAGATTTATTATTCAAATATACGATGGTTTACAACTGACATTCAGACATTAAAGCGAGAATAGTTACCCAAGAAAAGATGTGTTTATTCTTGGAAAAAGGACAGTTCCATCATTAAATCATGGAATGCGTTTGTTAGCAACTGTCCTAGCATAGCTGTCACAAAAGTTTAAAATGAAATCAGAAAGCTGTATCTTTGAGCAGGTATAACTTCCGTGTAGTGGATGTCATATTAATTCACCAGAACGTTTATCTCTATATAATGTAGAGGATACCAATAATGTAAGCAGCATTCATCATCATCGAAAACAATACCAGTCTATCGTTATAGTATACCCTGTGCATGCTTAGTTTTCATTAACTGTATGTATGAACATGTATGTATATTTCATTTGTCTTGATGCTAATCAATTACCAAGGTCTCTAAAGTTACATTTCAATCTCTTGGTCAGTGAAGTTAATTTAGACACGATGATGTTTAAAATTTTTCATTGAATAGATTACTTTGGCTCCAAGCAGAATAATTCCCAGACATATACCTACTTACTACATCGATGGCCATGGGCTAACTTAATCTAGTCAGAGTTTGTACAGTTTATGCTGGTGCACTATGACATTGCAAATATAACTAATGGATCCAATAATGTTACCATTAACTGAAATTTTTACAAAATCAAACAATGCCATAATTCAGAAATTGTAGCATTATATGATAAAAAACCTGACTTATTGTCATGAAACCATGTAAAAAATACAATGCATTCCCAGATGTTTCTTGTTTTTGACCATAAATAATTAATATTTGACATTTGTCGTATAGTTTGTACACTGTTTTGCAATTCTATACAACTGTACAATGTTTTGGTCTCCGGTGGGTTTGCCTTCCAATTTATCCACTATCCATTAGATATTATAGTGCTGAAGTCTATCCTGATAAATAGAGATCTCTAATACCCCGGCTGGTCCCATTGAGACTTGGCGCTGATATTGCTGCATCAATACAGCCAAGGCATACCATCAGATGGTTTATGATTCATGGCTGCTGGCAGTTATATTGATGAAGGTACCATTGATGAAGGAGTCTGATGGATCTGAAGAGAATATATCAATATTAATATGCTTACACAGTACACTAAGGAATGTTAACAGGGCACCAAAGGGACTTGTTATTATCTTTTGTAACCAGGTGGATCATTCTACTATTAGCTGTAATACAATAACAAAGAAAGGACTTGTCCGGTTTTAATCCCAAATCCCCTCTGTTTCTTGGGACAAATGAGGCAGGTGTCCCTGCCTGTCTCCTGACTCCAATAAAGGAGTAATGGATGCAGGTGCCCTCTATTACATGAGCCTAGGTTAGCTAATGACTCGGTTATAATTAAGTAATAGGTTCTGCAGGTGCCCTCTATAATAGATAACACAATCACTGGCTGTTATTGAAATATATATGAACTTTCAGATTTTCTTTGTTTTCCTATATTTTCATTGCTTTTAAAAGTTATTCATCTGTTCTGAAACACTTAAAATATATATTTTTTGATAAGGAGTGTAGTACATATGGCATATATTTGATTTCCCCCATTTTTAAGAATCCCTTGCAGTCACATCCTTGACCATGTTACGTATGACTCACACTTATTTACGGTACAGTATATCACTTTATAAATAATTATTTTTTCTCCCTGAAGGGTAAAACAGCTTTTGACCAACAGTCACCGTCAATTTATTATCATTTTCCGGTTTGTCCTGTTGGCTTTCTGATCAAGTCTAAGAAATACCCCCCAAGCACTGTCATTTATCACCTGTCTGCTGCAATTATCATGATACCTGTAAAACAGTTATAGTGATAGCTGGGGCAAGTGACCTCACAAAGCTGGAGCCTCTATTAAAATTAATTGTTTTATACACTATGTAGGTAAGTCAGAGTGGCAATAAACATGTACACGACTCAAAGTAACTTTTCTAAACCAGGCGCCACAGGGGCCAACAGAGAAGTGTAAAGACACCAAATGGAAAAGTTACAGGAGCCTCATTACAAAGTTTGTAATGTTTGAAAGTAATGAATAGAATTAGTTGTATGTTAAATGGACCAATTCATTGTTGTTACTACAAAATTATTTTGTCCAGTTGTAGTGGATCGCCTTTTCCGAAAAGACATTTTTGACACCAACTGGAATATTACCAGCTTGTATCCTGTGACTTATATATATATATACATTATATTCCAAAGGGAAAATTTATATATATATATACATTATATTCCAAAGGGAAAATTTAAATAGTATTGTATCAAAATGTAATCCTATTTTTACCAGAAGATATTTAATCATGTAGTGTTCCATTTTCATGCTGAATAGTGAATATGTCTGATTTTGTAATGGATTTAGTTATTCAAGTATCTAGTGGCCATGTGATATTTGTATCTCTTGGCTTAATTGTATGCAATTTGCTTCTTGGTCCAAATATTTCACTATTGTTAGAAATTCCCAAGATACAGCATTCACTGACTATACATTAACTCATTAAATGTATATTTGTAAATTACAAAAATGAAACACCGCATGAGTAAATAATAAATGAGAACATTTGTTAAAAATACGCTATTGTTTCCCAGAGCTCCTAGCTGGATATAAAGTATAACCTTGAATTATCGATTGAAAATAGAAGTCGAACAATAAATATTTTCTTGTCTTTGTCCCGTGTTAGAAACACATTTGGCACTTTCTATTTAGCAGAAACATTTCCTATCATGCATCAATGCAGTATACGATATTTAAACATGAACTTGAGACCATTGAATGAGTGCATTTCAATTTCGCCTGTAACATTACGACACCTGAGACTGTGAAATGCTTGTGATAACTACCACCCACTGAGACCCTTAGTAAGGAGAAACTGCCTAATATATCCCAGTAGACACACTTACAAATTAAACTGTTATTTCGGTTTTAATTGGGGTTCATTTTCTACATGTTTAATGTCATTAAGGGTAAAATTTCATATATCTCTCACAATGCAACATTCTCATATCAGTCCATATGATACCTTCTAGTGGCATGTGATACAGGTCTGAACCTCTGGGCACCCTCTGGCTGTGAGATGGCCACCCAGATAATTAGCTTTAATAGATCAGGTCTGGTACAGGTGAAAACAATGCCCCTAGCTTGAATGCTACCTGTCAGGTAGGTTACCTATTGGATAGTGTGATGGCAGTCAATTAATAAATTGTGCTTGTATACTGAGAAATGTGACAGGAGATGTCAAACTTTCAGAGTCAAATCAGCAAGATGTAGGTGTCACAGAGCTGAATAATTGTTTTCTGCTGTTAATTGGTCACCACATTCACTGTGATTTACACGTAGTGTAGGCATTGTCTTCAGTAGTGTTACTTCATTGTTTTTAGGTTTAGTATTTGTACATAACATCGATTAGTGAAAAGATACAGATAACAAGATTTACCTATTTTTTTTCTTAAGTATATACATGTATGCAACTTAAAATATTAGAAATGGATAATCACATTCATAGAAAAATCTTGACTTGATTTGCTTTAATTATGAAATGTTTATATTTATATTATAATTTATGACCCAAAAATCCAAATAATTCAATCATATCCCAAGAATTTCAAAAGAATTAATGAACAAGTTCTTAGTAGTCTGTTTAATTTTGTTATTAATGCAGATTTGTTTGTAAGAAGATCAAAAGATGCATATATTTACAAGATGTATGTATATTGAACATTTAAAATAATTACTTTTGAATCCATTTGCTTTCAGAGCTTGGACTTTGTTCTTTTGGTAAGGCATGTTGTAATGAATCCTCTCTCGTTTGTTGATTTGTTCAAGTTTTATGTTTAATATCATAAATCTATGTGTCACCTTGTCATTGGAACGGTTTGTCTAAACTGAGGATGTGTCATTTCCACATTTATTAAACCTTCATGCCTGTAACTCCAAGGAGATGGGTATATATATGTGTGGTACTGACACCTTTGTGGACTAATTCCTCTGACCTATCTCCTGCACATATTAACATCAATTAACACTATCTCTAAGTAAATTTACAATCAAACACTCATTGATAAAAACTAAATTTTGTCAAAATCTATCAATCACTCGGAAATTATATACAATACAATAAAATTTTCATTTATAATTCTCTAAATTGAATAATTTATTGATTTCACATGTCTGTTTAATTCAAATTCAGTTGAAAGATATTATGGACGTGTCACTTAATTCAAGGCGATGACAGTAAACAACATTTTGACAATATTAGGTATAGAATCATTATGCCTTAATGTGTCAGTTATGATCCCTTTTGCCTTGAATGTGAATCTTGCATAATAAACGACATCTAAATATAACCAAACCATACATGTATGTTGTTCCCATGCAAGTAATGTGTCAAACAAATTTTGTAACATATGCACTTGGATTTTATGTTCTGCACACGAACTAACAGATAAGACAGACCCTTTATCTTCTGTGATAATCAATGACTGTTTCATATTGGTCCCTGATTGTATGAGTCTGGCATTTATTGGTGATAAACACACTGAGGATCTGTATGGGGGGACAGGGTAGGGGGACACAATATTGTAACAAACACAGCTCAGCATCTGTATGGGAGGGGGGGCTGCAGGCTTGGGCACAATGTTGAAATTGACACAGCAACTGTTTTGGGGGACAAGGGGGCGGGGAGAACACAATGTTATAAGAAATACAGGATCAGAATGGGGGAACAATTTGGAAACGGACAGTAGAAATCTGTATTGGGGACATAGGGTTGGCAGTGCCAGGATCGCTGTATGAGGGCCAATTCAAGGGGATGCATAGGGGACACCTTTGGAAGGACAGTCTATTGCAATAGACACGGGATCTGTTTGAGGGGCAAGAGCTTGCTGGACTCAATATTGTAACAGACAAGTTCTGTATAGGAGCCAAGGGGAGGATTCAGCATATTGTAAATGACAAAGGATCTGAATACGGACATGGGAAAGAAACATTTATCATTCATTTGAAATGTTATATTGAAATGTTAGGTTTATATATTTTTGCTTCTGAATTCCTTTCTTTTCAGAGAATTGTTCATATATCAATATTATTTTCAGAGTTGCATGTACATCAGTATAAGGAAGGCTATCGTGTTTAGCTTTGACACGTAATAACTTTCCTGGTAATGTACATGTACATATAAAATTTCAGAAATATCACATATCGAAACGAAATGTTTTGACATTCAATCATATGAAGACGTCAGCTCCTTTTCAATTATACATATCATCAGGCATTTTTTTTACCTGTAATGTCACCAAAATCAGGTAAATATTACAGGTATGGTAATTCAGACGAATAAAAAACGTTTTAATGTGCATTATATTCCTTTTTTGCATTTTTTTTGGAGATTGTATCAAATGTGAAGGTCTTCATGCTTGTTTGCTTAAGGTAATAAGTTGTGAGTCATTCAAGAAAAGTTGATGTGAAAGCTCTATATACCGTACAGGTATGGAACCACCTACAATATAACCTGCACACATCCCGTGATGATAAAAGATTGATAAGCCCAGCCAGGATATTTTTATATCTCTGCTCTGATGTGTGTAGATATGCCATAATGATAGGTAAAATATATAGAGTGTAAATACATGTGAATATACCAGTAAATCCTTGTGGGATGACTCGACTTCCAAGTTTAAAGTTGCATCATGCTATTACTGGTATATAATTTGACACCGGTAATTGTAGGGTGACGTTAGTATTGGGTATCGTGTACCAGTATAAAACACGACGTGACGAATCCTATCACTAGCTCGTATATAGGAACCCTGCAGGGACGTTCTGTAACCTTCAGACAAAGTTTTATTTTAAAATTTATCGAGTTTACTAAATGCATGGTTATATCTTTTGTTGTGGTTTTACCTTTGGTTAGATGTTGCTGTGTGGTCCCCCATATTTTGCCCCATGAAGTGCAATACAAATCAACCCCAATAGGTATTATTGATCAGCGATTTTGTCCTAAATCATCACAGGTAACTAATACCGGACAGGTGGTGTAGGCGGGTTTCAAATTCTATCCATTGTCTCCTTCGTCAGATTTCCATGTACATGTACATGTATCATCATGATCAATGAATAAAGCTCTGTAATAGCAGTCACCTGTACCACTGCAGATTTGAGCAGGGCTGCTACCAATACCCAATGAGGAGGCTTTTTCCTATTTTCAGGGAAAATCCTTTTTTTTCTTTTTCAGCGAAACCCCAACATATACAAGATGCTCCTGAAAATTTAATTTCTGATTATCTTTTTTGGTTCTCTATTTGTTTTTAAGTGACCTTCTGATATCCTTCATGCATAATACCATACATGTTGTTGAACTCTGTGATATACCAAGTGTAATATGGATAGGAATAATACATGTGGAGACTTTGTGACTACTTCAGGGTGAGAAATTAATTTGAAGTTTAGCGGTCTTCGATTCAATTTGTTACATTAAAGCACCCTTGTAAACCCTGTATCGGACCAGTGACAGCAATGGGTGCACATAAAGATAAATTCTATTATGGTCTTGGAGACCAGCTTTGCAATTAATTGGTAGAGCAGTTTCATGCAGACAGTTATTTTAGTTTCAATCAGACTCCAGTACCTATTCCAAATGAGTCTACCAGACCACATAACAACAAGATTCTGATAGGGGGTTTACCTGAGAATAGTCCTCCTGAGAGAATTCAAGATAACTAAGCATTGAATCTAAATTTCCTCCGATAAACTCTTGCTACAGTACATGCACATTAAACAGCAATGTACTACTCCTTGAGTGAATGATTGGAATATTGTTCAGATAGAACTGACTGGTACACAGTACTGTACCACTTTACCTGGAGCAGGATGAAACACAGCATTTGCATATTGAATACTATTTTATCATATACAAGTAACTAAACACCATTTAGGTTTAAAAATCCATCTAGTTTTATGAGATTATGTTAATTTCATGTGGTTTTTTTGGCTTTTTATTTGTATTATTAGCATTATGTATGAGCTGCTTTGCATAACTAACATTTTTATGCTTCAAATATTATTCTGTGTTTTGGTTCAAGGTTCTAGCTTAATTTGTCAACTGTGTTCGGTGTTATAGGCTGTGTTGTTGCTTTAAATATTCTTATTCTTGAACAGTTAAACCTTTAACTCAAAAAGTGCAGGAAAAAATCCACTCAAGATGCTTTTAATGATAATTATAAGGAAGTGATATAAAAAAACAAGAGGCATTTGTTTTAAAATTTGAACACATTTTTCTTTTGCAAACCAAACTGTCCAGACCAAAGAGGTTCTATAATGAAAGGGGCCTGTATAGAGGTGTTTTAAGCATTTTATCCTCTGGATCTTAAATACCTAATGAACAAATGACTCTACAATGTCATGCACTGACATCACTTTCTGATGTTACTAAGTTCAGGGTTGGGAAAATGTTGGAAATGAAAGTTTTGAAGACGTATACTTGTTACTTTTCACACTGAACAAACATTATATCATATCCTGATGTTTTAAGGGTGCATTGAAATGTCAAACCTTGATCTCATAATATTCTTGACATATCAAAATAATTACACTATCTTTGAAAGCATCAAATTACCACAAGACACTATCTTTAAAGAGATAATGCTGTACCCAGGGACTGATCATGTGGTTGGCAGATAACTTAACAACATAATTTCAAAAGTCCTGATGTCACAGTGATGTCAAATTGTAATATTGTATAGACAAATAAATATGTTATGTTGTATTGACGTTGTAGGTAAGTATCAATGCAACATCGTGGTCAGAATCTGATGTGGTTAATTACATTTTACTAACATACCCTCTTGGTAATACAAGGTAATGAAATATCCTGATCTTGAGATGGGATCTAATCTTGAGCTGTAACAAGTTTAAAGCAATGAAGAAGGGAATAGACGCTGTTGAAGTTAACGAGGAACATTAAACCTTTATATAATTATTGAGCAAATAATTTCTTTTTCTTTTGTGAATTTTGAGTATGAAGTTACTTTGCTTATTGTTCGCGATGTCTCACAATTAAATATGTTTGTGTTGTTGCCTTTTTGTCCAGAGTTTAATAGTGTTGAAGTTTTTTAATGAAGACTATTTTGTGTAGCAGATATATATCTTTGAAAACTTTGCTTCAGACTGTCCTTGAAATCAGAGGTGAGAAAGTTGACACATGCCAATAAATGAATATACATAGACCAAGGTGGTCGACTATACAGCTACCTTACCAGGCCAAAGAAGGATATATCTTTGTGTGTTCACGCCCAACATACTTACCAATTCTGTGTAAGGTTTAGTGACATAATACATCTTTCACTTGAAATAATGTCTTAGAATTATGGAAAATCAACATGTATAGTAGATCTGTTATTTAACAGGAAGCTCGCTCTTATTCCTATCCTTCGGCCAGTAATTCAGTACCCTGTGTTTTGTGTCTGTTACAATGTTTGTGCTATGGATTTACTACCCCTTGTGTAGAATTATAAGGAACAAGTTGTTAGCCTTTGTTGCCAGATTTACCACAGAATTCATGTCTTAGAATGGAAAATATTGACAAGAAGAAATTCTAAGGATTTTTCAGAAGTTAGCATTACAGAAACAAAAAGTATTTAAGTGAACATTTGATTTAGTTTTGAATGAAATAAACTCTAGCGTTTTAAAGGTTGAAATTTATTTTGTCTCGGTTAGGGATCATCTCAACTTTGTAATCTCAATATTACCAGAACCTTTCAGTTTGATGAAAATGATTTGTA